TAAACTTCATTAAATAGCAATGTCTAATTATTTTGTTATATAGCAATATTTTGTCAGCAACGTTGATTGGATTCCAACAAATCTTCTTTCAACAACAGATAAAGAAATGCAATATTTCACTGTTATGCATTTTTCTAATGTATAATGTCAGTCTTTTTTTCTCAAGTAGTAATTAAAACTTGCTTTGAAAAATACCAGTGTAACCTAAAACTATTATATTCCTAAAAGTACTTAGATTAAGGAGGAGGCAAGAAAACAGCATAGGAACTACAAGGGATTGCATTCCAGACAGACATGGTCCTGGCTTCTGCATCTGTCTCTTGGTAGCTTTGTGACTGGTTGAAATGCTTAATCTCACCTTGTTTTAAATGAGATAAAATGAGGAAAACAGCATTTACCTCACAGTCTGATAGGAGAGGTAATAACATAATGCATTTAAATTATGTAGAACAGTGTGAGTATTATGATAGATGCCTAATAAATGTTAATTCCCCTTCTTCTCTTTGTTTTACTTTCTTTTACTTCTCCATCCCTAATTTTCTGATCATAACACTTCCAGGACAAAAGCAGCAAGGCGGAAATACTAAGACAGTTAAGAAGATCCAGTGAGAAAAACTCATATAGAGAAGACAAGATTGTTGAAAATTCTAATCATTTCACTGAAACTGATGTTTGCTCGAAACAAATATTACTCATAAAAATGGCTGCTGTGGTTTATTTAGGAAGCAAAGTGTAATATTTACAAGGGCAGAGAGGGTAGCATGAGAATGAAGAGAGCTAGTGAAATCTGACCTTTGGTGAGCTGGCACTGTTTAGTAAATCTTCCTTCCCTCAGTGAAAGGGATTAGCTTCCAGTACAGTTAATTCCACCTGGAAGAGAAATATCAGAGCTTTAGCCCTGAGGGATATTGCTCTACAAGCCCAGGTTCTTTTCAGATTATTCTGGTTGATTAAACAAACAGGGAAATAACCCTTTTAAGTTTGTACATATATTAGGAATCGGAGTAGGCATATAAGCATCACTGTACAACCAACAAAAAGTATGTCAAAGCAACATACAATTTAAATTAATGTAGTTGTAAATAATAATGGTTATTTTTCAAATGATCTATTTGATTGGTATACGTGCTTTTTCACTCTTGTCCCACCAGTGCCATTAGCTCTAAGGAAAGGACTGTAGACTACACTCACTGCTGATGTTTAGATTATGAAGGGAAAGAAACAATAGAGAAGATAAGAATGGAATTTTAAACAGCAGAGGACTAAGAAGACAGGGCAGTATGTATTATGTTGTTACGTTCCCAGGATGTAGGTCTGGAAAACTAATGATAATTTTTTGGTGTTGGTGATTAGAACTAAGGGAAGAAAAGGTAGCAGGTGAATCTCACTGTATTCTCTAAGGTCATTCCAGAAAGCTTGTGTCTTTATCATTAATCCTATTGTCTATTAGCATATACAGTTAGGAGCTAATATCAAATTTGTTCAGTGAAATTTATAGAATGAAAGACTTTTAGGGCTGCTAAGAGGGCTAATAAGTCATATAGTTTAGAATTCTCAGAAAGTTAAAAACCTTATGAGAAATTTCCATTGGCTCAAATCAGATGAGAATAAAACTAGATCGTACATGTCTTAATATTCATCCTAGGGGACTCGCCAGGACTGAACTCTTCTTTATTGACTGATTAACCATTTTCCAACTCACTAATTAGGCAAACCAGAATGTTTGTATGTTCCCTGTGTGTGACTATCTGCATTGTAAATTCACCTAACCTAATTGTGTTGTTTACAATTGATACGTTTATTTTTGTTATCCTTTGGTATCCTTAGAGGTGAGAGTTACAGTTCTATTTCCCGATCACACTACCCTCTCATGTTAAAATGAGAGAAAAATCACAATCAAATTCTGCAACACTTTCAAACACTTATTAGCAATCAAACAGATAAAGTAATACAGGCTACCCTGTAAGTTTAATTAAGTCTCAAACTTTTGTATTTTTGAGTGCTGCAACAAATTGCAGGCATGATACTTCACTTAGATAGAGGTGGCAGCTTTCTATTGGCAGGACCTGGTTACCATGTAGCTGGAATCGGGCCAAATCATCTTCTGGAGAGGTTGCTCTTAGGACCTTAGACAATTTACAGCCTGAGGCACCGGGGTAAAGTGTGGAAGTGACAAGCTAGGTGGTGGGACACTATGTACACATGACAGAGGCCCCACATAGCATCTTAGCAAGTCCACATGTTTTGTGTCACTAATGAAACATTTCAGTAATGAGAAATCATTGCCCCTCTGCATGACGATAATGAAGTTTTTGAAGGTTATTAGATGTCAGCATAGTTGATGTGTTATAAGAACCACAGCTGGCGCTGGGCGCGGTGGCTCACGCCTGTAATCCCAGCACTTTGGGAGGCTGAGGCGGGTGGATCATGAGGTCGAGACCATCCTGGTCAAAATGGTGAAACCCCGTCTCTACTAAAAATACAAAAATTTAGCTGGGCATGGTGGCGTGTGCCTGTAATCCCAGCTACTCAGGAGGCTGAGGCAGGAGAATTGCCTGAACCGAGGAGGCAGAGGTTGCAGTGAGCCGAGATCGAGCCATTGCACTCCAGCCTGGGCAACAAGAGCGAAACTCCGACTCAAAAAAAAAAAAAAAAAAAAAAAAAAAACCACAGCTGGCGTGTACTTTTTTAAACACCACTTTATTTAGGTATGACTGGCATAGAAAAAAATTTCATATTTAATGTATTCAACTCGACAGGGCTGGAGATAAATATGGACCCTTGAAACCAGCACCACAATCTGTCATAAACCTATCCTACTTCAAACTCTCTTTGAACTCTCCTTCTGCCTTTTAATTTATTGATTATTATTATTTTGTGGGGGAAATAAGAACATTTAATGTAAGATCTACATCCTTAGCCAATTTTTAAGCATGCAACACAGTATGGTTGACCCAAGGTAGATGCTGTATCTCTAAACTTCTTCAAGTAGGAAAACCAAACTTTGTATTCTTTGATTAACACTATCTTCTCCCATCTCTCTCCTGACCCCACCCCCGGCAACTATCATTCCACTCTCTGCCTCTAGAGCTTAACTATTTTAGATTCATCATATAAGTGATATAATGTGGTATTTGTTCTTTGTCGGGCTTATTTAACTTAGCACAGCATCTACCAGGTTCATCTCTGTTGCCTGAATGTGGGATTTTGATTGGCATCTCAAATGCTGACAACCTCTGCAGTGTGTTTATTGTATTAGAGTTTTTCAAAGACTTACCAACTGTTCCATAAAACTAAGACACATACAAAATCATGTTTTTAAAAATATACAACGAACAAGTTTTAGACAGGAGAAATACATTTTGAGATCTACACAGCAGAATGACTGTACTCAATAATAACATATTGGGTATTTCAAAATAACTAAGAGTAGGTTTCATATGTCTGACCATTAAAATGATTGGTAAGTTAAGCAATGGATATGTTAATTATCTTGATCCAATCATTTCAAACTGTGTGTATAAATATATATATATATATATATATATATATATATATATGTATCCTATAAATGTGTATAATTTATCAATTAAAATAATATTAATTAGGCCGGGCACAGTGGCTCACACCTGTAATCCCAGCACTTTGGGAGGCCCAGGTGGGTAGATCACAAGGTCAAAATATCGAGACCATCCTAGCCAACATGGTGAAACCCCCCCACTAAAAATACAAAAATTATCTT